TCAATGGCTTAAGGACTGTGAAGTGAGGTTCTTTAATGACTGGCTAGGCAATTCCCCAGACCTAAACCCTATTGAGAACCTCTGGTCAATAGTGAAATGAAGTTTACTGGGCAAGGATATCAGTTCCATCCCGTGGCTGGAGATTGCTGTACGTGAGGCATGGAATAATATACTTCCTCAAACCCTCAAGAATTTGTGTGCGAGTCTTCCTACATGGCTGCGTAAAGGACACAGCACCAAGTATTAAAACCTAGGTAAGTGTGCAGATCTATATATTATAATCTTTCATGGTATATGTTTGCATTTTGGTATGTGTGTTGGGGAGGGGCAGCATAATGCTGTGACTAGCACTGTACTTCCATTCTGCATTCCATGTAAGTATTTTTCTTTTGGGATTGGGATTCTCTTGCTTTTCAAAAGCTCCAGGCAGACTTCCTTACTGTCTTAAGTGTTGTCTTATACCCTGAACTTCAGTTTTATGCATATTAATCCTTCACTCTTCTCCGAGTGCTCACTTCATGGCTTGGTCCCCCATGGAGAAAGCTGGATGGGAACAGGATTTTTTAAAATATCTAATTGTTCTACAAATATAATTTGATCTTAAGACTGTTTATGTAAGGATTTCCTACCTAGCTATGGACTCTGAACCTATCTCTACAGTACTGTTCACACTTCACAAAGGCATCTAACAACCTTTTCTTAACTCATTAACTGCCTGCTGGTGAAATGCCCGTGATAGAGGCATCTGAACGACCTTGCTTTCTCTATCTCCTGGTCAACCCTCACTAACTCATTAACTGGTCTGCCCATTACTCTGGAGAACTTTTGACACTCGAGCTGCTTCTATTATGGTTTCATAACCTCATGGAGAAAATCAACAACTGTCCCTAATATATAAGTCTATATATTCCTCTGGTTGAGGAACAATTTTATTTTGTTTAGCTTTGATTAATCCATTTGTTTTTATTTTTCCTTAAAATTTATTAAACCCTTTTTATATTTTTGGATAAAAGTTTATTATTCTGTTAATAAATTCCTAAAGGAAACTCAATGGCTCTCTTTTTCCAGTCAGCTCTCCTTTTGCAGTTGTTTTATTATGATTTCATGAGTCATGATAGCATCTTTGAATGGACTTGAGCCAGAGTATGCCACAGCCATGCCATACACAACACACACACACACACAAAACCCCACACACACACACACACAAAACCCCCCACACACACACACAAACCCTCCCCCCCCCACACACACACACCAAACCCTCCCCCCCCACACACACACACACATGTCAAGAAGTTAGAGAAAGTACAAAGGTTTGCAACAAGGCTAGTCCCAGAGCTCAGGGGAATGTCATACCAGGAAAGGTTGAGGGAAATCGGACTGACGACACTGGAGGACAGAAGGGTCAGGGGAGACATGGTAACGACATACAAGATACTGAGGGGAATAGACAAGGTGGACAGAGATAGGATGTTCCAGAGAGGGGACACAGGAACAAGGGGTCACAACTGGAAGCTGAAGACTCAGACGAGTCACAGGGACGTTAGGAAGTATTTCTTCAGTCATAGAGTCGTCAGGAAGTGGAATAGCCTAGCAAGTGAAGTAGTGGAGGCAGGAACCATACATAGTTTTAAGAAGAGGTATGATAAAGCTCAGGAAGCAGAGAGAGAGAGGACCTAGTAGCAATCAGTGAAGAGGCGGGGCCAGGAGCTGAGTCTTGACCCCTGCAACCACAATTAGGTAAGTACAATTAGGTGAGTACACACACACACACACACACACACACACACACACACACACACACACACACACACCACACACACACACACACACAACACCACACACAAAAAAAAAAAAATACACACACAAAAAACAAAAAATACACAGAAACACAAAAACAAAAAACAACACAAAACACACAAACACAAAAACAAAAAATACACAAACAAAAACAAAAACACACACACATTGGCTGGGCAAAAAGTGGTCATAACCTATTGCTGGTACACATAATAAGAGGTTTACCAAAAGCACTCTCAAAACTTAAGGCCTCTTTTATGTCTACATTTATGAAAAAAAGTAAAAAAGTAACTTTGTCTTCAAATATGGTAGAGAATCTTTTTCTAAAAGTAATGACACAAAAAATGCAAAAGTTAATGCAATGCTGTACCTACGGAATTCCTGTTTCAGTCCACTTCTGGTCTTAAACCAACAAAATCTTCTCCATTTCACTAGCATTTCTACCAGTCAATCTATTAACACCAAGAAAAAGCTAACAGATCCAAAAAAGTAACCCTAAAAATATTACTACAGTCACTATTTTAACCCAAAGGCAGGGTCAGAGGTTTGCTGTTCTCATCATGCAATGCATGGGAAAGATTTTTGTATACCACACACAACCACCAAATAGATCCATGCTCTTATGTCTAGACCCAAATTTGCCACTCACAACAAATTTGGGTGCTATGAGTTATGCATATTAATATGTCATGGACTCTGAATGCAATGACATACTGGTATGTGAGAGACACCCCAGAGTTCAAGTGGTTCGTGAAACCTGAACGCAGGATGTGCATAGAGAAAATCAACAAAATATTTTATTCATCTCTCTACTATCATACCTGTGCCTCCTTATTTACTAATCACACAAATTTCATTCAGATCCTTTTGTCCCCTTATTTCTCACATTTTATTTACCTCCTAAATTTTCTTATTCTCAATAAAATTTATTAACAATGCTTTTCCACCTATTTAACCTCTCACCCATATGACATATGACATATCTATCTTGATGGATTTTTGTCATATTGCAAAAACTTCCATTATTTTATTTTTTATTATCACACCGGCCAATTCCCACCAAGGCAGGGTGGCCCGAAAAAGAAAAACTTTCACCATCATTCACTCCATCACTGTCTTGCCAGAAGGGTGCTTTACACTACAGTTTTTAAACTGCAACATTAACACCCCTCCTTCAGAGTGCAGGCACTGTACTTCCCATCTCCAGGACTCAAGTCCGGCCTGCCGGTTTCCCTGAATCCCTTCATAAATGTTACTTTGCTCACACTCCAACAGCACGTCAAGTATTAAAAACCATTTGTCTCCATTCACTCCTATCAAACACGCTCACGCATGCCTGCTGGAAGTCCAAGCCCCTCGCACACAAAACCTCCTTTACCCCCTCCCTCCAACCCTTCCTAGGCCGACCCCTACACCCGCCTTCCTTCCACTACAGACTGATACACTCTTGAAGTCATTCTGTTTCGCTCCATTCTCTCTACATGTCTGAACCACCTCAACAACCCTTCCTCAGCCCTCTGGACAACAGTTTTTGGTAACCCGCACCTCCTCCTAACTTCCAAACTACGAATTCCTCTGCATTATATTCACACCACACATTGCCCTCAGACATGACATCTCCACTGCCTCCAGCCTTCTCCTCGCTGCAACATTCATCACCCACGCTTCACACCCATATAAGAGCGTTGGTAAAACTATACTCTCATACATTCCCCTCTTTGCCTCCAAGGACAAAGTTCTTTGTCTCCACAGACTCCTAAGTGCACCACTCACTTCTTTTTCCCTCATCAATTCTATGATTCACCTCATCTTTCATAGACCCATCCGCTGACACGTCCACTCCCAAATATCTGAATACGTTCACCTCCTCCATACTCTCTCCCTCCAATCTGATATTCAATCTTTCATCACCAAATCTTTTTGTTATCCTCATAACCTTACTCTTTCCTGTATTCACCTTTAAATTTTCTTCTTTTGCACACCCTACCAAATCATCCACCAATCTCTGCAACTTCTCTTCAGAATCTCCCAAGAGCACAGTGTCATCAGCAAAGAGCAGCCTGTGACAACTCCCACTTTGTGTGTGATTCTTTATCTTTTAACTCCACGCCTCTTGCCAAAGACCCTCGCATTTACTTCTCTTACAACCCCATCTATAAATATATTAAACAACCACGGTGACATCACACATCCTTGTCTAAGGCCTACTTTTTACTGGGAAAAAATTTCCCTCTTTCCTACATACTCTAACTTAAAGCCTCGCTATCCTCGTAAAAACTCTTCACTGCTTTCAGTAACCTACCTCCTACACCATACACTTGCAACATCTGCCACATTGCCCCCCTATCCACCCTGTCATACGCCTTTTCCAAATCCATAAATGCCACAAAGACCTCTTTAGCCTTATCTAAATACTGTTCACTTAATATGTTTCACTGTAAACACCTGGTCCACACACCCCCCTACCTTTCCTAAAGCCTCCTTGTTTTATCTGCTATCCTATTCTCCGTCTTACTCTTAATTCTTTCAATTATAACTCTACCATACACTTTACCAGGTACACTCAACAGACTTATCCCCCCCTATAATTTTGCACTCTCTTTTATCCCCTTGCCTTTATACAAAGGGAAATATGCATGCTCTCTGCCAATCCCTAGGTACCTTACCCTCTTCCATACATTTATTAAATAATTGCACCAACCACCCTCCAAAACTATATCCCCACCTGCTTTTAACATTTCTATCTTTATCCCATCAATTTCCCGCTGCCTTACCCCCTTTCATTTTACCCTACTGCCTCACGAACTTCCCCCCACACTCACAACTGGCTCTTCCTCACTCCTACAAGATGTTATTCCTCCTTGCCCTATACACGAAATCACAGCTTCCCTATCTTCATCAACATTTAACAATTCCTCAAAATATTCCTTCCATCTTCCCAATACCTCTAACTCTCCTTTAATAACTCTCCTCTCCTATTTTTAACTGACAAATCCATTTGTTCTCTAGGCTTTCTTAACTTGTTAATCTCACTCCAAAACTTTTTCTTATTTTCAACAAAATTTGTTGATAACATCTCACCCACTCTCTCATTTGCTCTCTTTTTACATTGCTTCACCACTCTCCATATGCCAGCTTATTCTCCTTTACGAATACAGTAAAATGCCACTGACCTACTAGATTTTTAATGTACTTACATTCAACTTCATCTATTAATGTTAAAACATCATCTTCAAAGAGATCATCATCCAAGATGTCACTGGTGTACAACTGAGGTGCTGTCAGAGAGTTCTGCTTGCTGGCTTTGTTGTCTACTTTTTTCTCAACGTTTTGCACATCATCTGAAACAATGATCTTTGTCATTCATGGCTCTTCATTCCCTGGCCCTAGATGCCAATGCAAGCTAATATATTTTTAAATCACCTAACCTCAATTACAAATACAGGATCTTGACTACCTAAAAAGTTTAGCTGTGTGTCTTAATTTCAGTGAATTAAATAAAGAAACAGAAAACAATTAACAAATAAAATTTGAATTACACTTTTATAATCAACAAATCACAGCCATTACTGATCAAATTCTAGGAATTACCATTATTCAAAATAATTCTTATTATGTATTTCCTTCTCCACTCTCAAGGTTGAGAGGGCCACCTAAAATGCTTCTGAAGTGTAGTACAAGATTTTAATTACTTGCCTCTTTAGACAAAACATTTTCAAAAAAATTATATTTGCTGACCTGTATAAATTCCTGTACCACTGTACCAGTATGGTAATTAATAGTTACTGTTATGTACAGTAAGCAGTGATAGTTAACGACTGCTACTCGATCAATGTCAGCCATGAATTATAGTCTGAACTGTAAAATATCATATTGGTTTTGCAGTCAAGATAGTATTTTGTTGTACAAATGATAAAAATGTAACCAAACCTAGCAAAATCTACTTAACCTAAAATAACCTCATGTAGCACAGATGCACTATTTACTTCCTAAGATACTGCAGCAAATTTTATAAAAGCAAAGCCTCAGAAAGCCAGGGTTCTTCTACAGGCTTGAGGAGCACTGCAGTAGACCTACTGGCCCATGAAAGGCAAGTCTCAGATTTACTGAACTACAGTGGGACCTCGGTACATGGACCGCTCCCTACTCAAACAAAGCTCAGCACTCGACCAAACAAACACGACCTGCCAGAACGTCACTGTAAACTATTTTGTGTTTCTTAGCATTTTTTTTTTTTATATATTTGTATAAATAAGTCACCATGGGGCCTACGAAGATTAGTGATAACAACCAACCAAAAACAAAACTGGTTGCAAAGAATTTGTTCGATACTCGAATGGATCGGCACTCGAACAGCCTTCTGGAACGAATTACATTCGAGTACCGAGGTCCCACTGTATTATCATCTTAAACTTACCCCTGCCTTCGGTCCTAGCACGTCTTTGTTCACATTTGGTGGCACATGACACACCTCAATACTAGCAGTGGTGGACCAAGATATGCTGGTCAACCAAAATAAATGTACTACAAATTTTCAAGAGCAATTTGCACAAAAAATACACAGTGATTAAATGAAGTACATGGGTTGTATGTATTCTCAAATGTAAACTAATGTTAGAGTTCTGTAGTGATAGTAAGTAACTACAGCCCAGTAAACTCTTAAAATACACAGATTATATATCTATAAGATACCATCTAAGCAGTTGCATCTGAGCACCTCTGCAAAGACAGAGATTATGTATGAATGATGGTGAAAATGTTGAAAGTTCTTTTTCATTCTTTTTGGGTTTTTCTTTCTTGTTGGGTCACCCTCGGTGGGAAACAGCCAATGTGAAAAAAAGAACTACAATATTAAGAAACAAAAATAAAGTGTCTACTGAATGTAAGTAGAAATTTGTTAGATTTGCCTGCAATGTCACATATGTTTATGAGATGTATCTCTTGTGGATCCTGGGATTACAGTAATCAGCCAAGTATTAAAAAAGGCTAAAGAACTTTAATATTTGAGATTAATATTTTTTACCTACTTTACTATGCTTCGATAATATAAGAACTTACCACGTGAATTTTCCATATTTACAGACATTTTACTGGTGTCTAGTCTTGGGTTATGAAGATTAGATGCTTGTGTGGTATGGTTGAAGTACCTCTGATCCCTTCTGCCTTCAGTTAAAGAATGTGAGTGCTTGAGTGAAGTCTTCAAGGTTTTGTAAGCCTGCACAACAGATTTTTGACGAGATGTCTTTACTTCATCTTTTATGTATGCATGAGAACTTACTGCAGGGTTTTCTTCACGCAAAGGTTTATCAGAATTAAAATTTTCAGGGAACTTCACAATATTCACGGAGCATTCATCACTCTGAGGAGGCACACTTATTCTACATTTCTGCACACTAGATTGTGGATGGTAAGAAGCAATTTTAAATAACTCCTCATCTTCGGGAAGATCAGAGAGCAACGACTTAAAAAATTCATCATCCTCTCCAAATTCTCGGGAAACATCTCCATCCATTGAGCTTTTGCTCCGCTGAGTGACAGATGGCAGATCAACAGTAACCTTTGCATTATCAGTAGAATGCGAGCGCATTATAGGTCCTCTTGCTGTCTGACCTGTACTTGTCAGTCGTCCTACTTGATTAGAACAATCACTACTAGATTTTTTCGATGGTATATTCGAAAAAACAGAATGATAGTTAGATGCACTTGGGCTTTTGATTTTTATACTGGGGGCCTTAGTTGCCTGGCATGTCTCCTCATTAGCTATAGGATTTATCACATGTACATTCTGTATACCTTTTGACTCAATGTTTGCTATTGCAGTTTTATGTACAGAATTATTATCAGATATATTTTTTGAACCAATATTTTCAAAGCCACTTTCATTTATAGGTGTCTTATTTATAAATTTACTAGCATTAACACTATATACATGAGAATTACTTTCTAGAGTATTATTCAAGGGATTTTTCAATGAATCAGACACAATTCTGCCTAACTGAAATGAACTTCTAACTCGCCTTTGAAGATTATTTGTGGGGGATATAAGGGTCTTACCAATGACAGGGCTACAGCTACTCTCATCACCAGAAATATGATTATCAATATTTTTGTTATAGATACTGGAAGCACTGGATTTACTCTGATTACAAGAGCTATTTACTTTGATATTACTAAAAGTTTGGCAAGTTGTATTTTTGTTGATATTATTATTAGCAGAATTATAAGGTACTATGGCACTCTGGGTTACACTTGAACTGTTTCTATTTATACTAGTAACATTGCTGATATGCCTAATACTACTATTACCACTGATTATATAATCAGTATTTAAACAAATTTTGTAGTCTACATCTTTCTGATTAGTTTTATCTTTACTAATGTTAACATAACCTGAAAGATTATTCCTTTGTTCTGATTCTTGAGAATTTCTATTGTCTACATCGGTAAACAAAATTCCACTGTCTTTTTTAGCCATGGCTTCTTCCAAGGCTTGTGTAGTTTTTATCACTGAATCATTGAACAGATCATCATCAAATATATCTACAGATACATTAGAAACATCCTTCACATCATCACCTATGTTCACTTTATCCTTTTCAAGTGCAACACTTACTTTCTCTTTCACAAAATGTCTGGTGTCTGTGTCAGACACTATATTAATTTCACTAATATCACATATACCAATATTGAGATCATCACCCCATAATGAATCATCTTGATCACTAGTAAGGTTCATGTCCTTAACTTCTGGAACCATTAGTTGTTCTTCATTTTTGTCATTACCATCACCCACATCAAAAGGCTGTGACAGGGCATGCTTTATTAATCCTGGAAGTGGCAATGTACTGGGAGTGGAATCTTCATCTAGAACTGGGTCAGAGTCATCACCAGAGCTTTCCCTTTGTGATTTGAAGTCTAATGGTGGAAGATCTTCAACATGAATTCTTTCTGACTTATTTTCTGAAAAGAGACAGAAACATCAGAAAGTTAAACCAGACAGAAGCACAAATTTAAAATAATTAATATTTGTACATTAAATAATGGATCAGACTAGAGAGAGGTAGAAAGAAAATTGCTGAAAAATGTCTATCACCTGTGTTTTAAATGCCACTGAGAGCATCTTCAAGATGCTTAAGCTTGCCCAAAATGCTCTGCATAACTATAGGCTTTCTGCATGCACAATTAAATGTTACCTTTCTGTGTACAAACATTGTATCATGCTAAAATATTATTATTCTTGTTACTATTATAACAGCTAACAGATATGAGATGATATATGAAAGACTGACTGATAAATAGTTTCTGTGCTGTATTAGCTCTACAGATTTGCATTTCACAAACTCTGCATTATAATTAAAGTACAGACGATAGTAACAATATACACCCGGAAAATAAAGAGGCCACATGTATCAGGTTAAGGAAGAAAAAGTAAGAGAGAATGGAGTCAAGTGTTAGGCATAGAAGAAACAAAGAATATTATCTGAAAATGCTGTAACAATTAAATAAATGGCAAATCTGAAAAAAAATAAGAGCTCACTTAAAAGTATGTCCCTAATAAGTTACATCATCAGCAAGAAATGACCTTGACAAAATTAAGAACAAGTACATTAGACTTCAAACATTGTTAAAAAATTACACAGGCATTTGTATCTAGTAACTCCAGATGTCTCATAAACATGCAAGATTTCATTTATGTCTTGCTACTTCTACTTACACTTAGGTCACACTACAAAGGCATGTATAGGCATATACACACACCCCTCTGGGTTTTCTTCTATTTTCTTTCTAGTTCTTGTTCTTGTTTATTTCCTCTTATCTCCATGGGGAAGTGGAATAGAATTCTTCCTCCGTAAGCCATGTGTGTTGTAAGAGGCGACTAAAATGCCGGGAGCAAGGGGCTAGTAACTTCTTCTGTATATATTACTAAATGTAAAAGGAGAAACTTTCGTTTTTCTTTTTGGGCCACCCTGCCTTGGTGGGATACGGCCGGTGTATCGAAAGGAAGAAGAACTCCAGATGTCTCATAAACATGCAAGATTTCATGTATGTCTTGCTACTTCTACTTACACTTAGGTCACACTACACAGGCATGTATAGGCATATATATACACACACCCCTCTGGGTTTTCTTCTATTTTCTTACTAGTTCTTGTTTATTTCCTCTTGTCTCCATGGGGAAGTGGAACAGAATTCTTCCTCCATAAGCTATGCGTGTTGTAAGAGGCAACTAAAATGCCGGGGGCAATGGGCTAGTAACCCTTTCTCCTGTATAAATTACTAAATTTAAAAAGAGAAACTTTCGTTTTTCTTTTTGGGCCATCTTGCCTCGGTGGGATACGTCCGATTTGTTGAAAGAACAACAACTCCAGATGTGCCCGATGTGGAGTAAAAATGAAATTTTTATGTGCTACTAGGCCCCTATCCAGAATGTTCAACTATTCAAAGCAATTAAATTTAGTAATTTACACAGGAGAAGGGGTTACGAGTCTCTTGCTCCCAGCATTTTAGTCGCCTCTTAAGACACGCATGATTATAGAGAAAGAATTCTTTTCCACTTCTCCATGGAGAATTATTATTATTTTTTTTTTTTATTATTATCACACCGGCCGATTCCCACCAAGGCAGGGTGGCCCGAAAAAGAAAAACTTTCACCATCATTCACTCCATCACTGTCTTGCCCGAAGGGTGCTTTACACTACAGTTTTTAAACTGCAACATTAACACCCCTCCTTCAGAGTGCAGGCACTGTACTTCCCATCTCCAGGACTCAAGTCCGGCCTGCCGGTTTCCCTGAATCCCTTCATAAATGTTACTTTGCTCACACTCCAACAGCACGTCAAGTATTAAAAACCATTTGTCTCCATTCACTCCTATCAAACACGCTCAAGCATGCCTGCTGGAAGTCCAAGCCCTCGCACACAAAACCTCCTTTACCCCCTCCCTCCAACCCTTCCTAGGCCGACCCCTACCCCGCCTTCCTTCCACTACAGACTGATACACTCTTGAAGTCATTCTGTTTCGCTCCATTCTCTCTACATGTCCGAACCACCTCAACAACCCTTCCTCAGCCTCTGGACAACAGTTTTGGTAATCCCGCACCTCCTCCTAACTTCCAAACTACGAATTCTCTGCATTATATTCACACCACACATTGCCCTCAGACATGACATCTCCACTGCCTCCAGCCTTCTCCTCGCTGCAACATTCATCACCACGCTTCACACCCATATAAGAGCGTTGGTAAAACTATACTCTCAACATTCCCCTCTTTGCCTCCAAGGACAAAGTTCTTTGTCTCCACAGACTCCTAAGTGCACCACTCACTCTTTTTCCCTCATCAATTCTATGATTCACCTCATCTTTCATAGACCCATCCGCTGACACGTCCACTCCCAAATATCTGAATACGTTCACCTCCTCCATACTCTCTCCCTCCAATCTGATATTCAATCTTTCATCACCTAATCTTTTTGTTATCCTCATAACCTTACTCTTTCCTGTATTCACCTTTAATTTTCTTCTTTTGCACACCCTACCAAATTCATCCACCAATCTCTGCAACTTCTCTTCAGAATCTCCCAAGAGCACAGTGTCATCAGCAAAGAGCAGCTGTGACAACTCCCACTTTGTGTGTGATTCTTTATCTTTTAACTCCACGCCTCTTGCCAAGACCCTCGCATTTACTTCTTTACAACCCCATCTATAAATATATTAAACAAACCACGGTGACATCACACATCCTTGTCTAAGGCCTACTTTTACTGGGAAAAAATTTCCCTCTTTCCTACATACTCTAACTTGAGCCTCACTATCCTCGTAAAAAACTCTTCACTGCTTTCAGTAACCTACCTCCTACACCATACACTTGCAACATCTGCCACATTGCCCCCCTATCCACCCTGTCATACGCCTTTTCCAAATCCATAAATGCCACAAAGACCTCTTTAGCCTTATCTAAATACTGTTCACTTATATGTTTCACTGTAAACACCTGGTCCACACACCCCCTACCTTTCTAAAGCCTCCTTGTTCATCTGCTATCCTATTCTCCGTCTTACTCTTAATTCTTTCAATTATAACTCTACCATACACTTTACCAGGTACACTCAACAGACTTATCCCCCTATAATTTTTGCACTCTCTTTTATCCCCTTTGCCTTTATACAAAGGAACTATGCATGCTCTCTGCCAATCCCTAGGTACCTTACCCTCTTCCATACATTTATTAAACAATTGCACCAACCACTCCAAAACTATATCCCCACCTGCTTTTAAACATTTCTATCTTTATCCCATCAATCCCGGCTGCTTTACCCCCTTTCATTTTACCTACTGCCTCACGAACTTCCCCCACACTCACAACTGGCTCTTCCTCACTCCTACAAGATGTTATTCCTCCTTGCCCTATACACGAAATCACAGCTTCCCTATCTTCATCAACATTTAACAATTCCTCAAAATATTCCTTCCATCTTCCCAATACCTCTAACTCTCCATTTAATAACTCTCCTCTCCTATTTTTAACTGACAAATCCATTTGTTCTCTAGGCTTTCTTAACTTGTTAATCTCACTCCAAAACTTTTTCTTATTTTCAACAAAATTTGTTGATAACATCTCACCCACTCTCTCATTTGCTCTCTTTTTACATTGCTTCACCACTCTCTTAACCTCTCTCTTTTTCTCCATATACTCTTCCCTCCTTGCATCACTTCTACTTTGTAAAAACTTCTCATATGCTAACTTTTTCTCCCTTACTACTCTCTTTACATCATCATTCCACCAATCGCTCCTCTTCCCTCCTGCACCCACTTTCCTGTAACCACAAACTTCTGCTGAACACTCTAACACTACATTTTTAAACCTACCCCATACCTCTTCGACCCCATTGCCTATGCTCTCATTAGCCCATCTATCCTCCAATAGCTGTTTATATCTTACCCTAACTGCCTCCTCTTTTAGTTTATAAACCTTCACCTCTCTCTTCCCTGATGCTTCTATTCTCCTTGTATCCCATCTATCTTTTACTCTCAGTGTAGCTACAACTAGAAAGTGATCTGATATATCTGTGGCCCCTCTATAAACATGTACATCCTGAAGTCTACTCAACAGTCTTTTATCTACCAATACATAATCCAACAAACTACTGTCATTTCGCCCTACATCATATCGTGTATACTTATTTATCCTCTTTTTCTTAAAATATGTATTACCTATAACTAAACCCCTTTCTATACAAAGTTCAATCAAAGGGCTCCCATTATCATTTACACCTGGCACCCCAAACTTACCTACCACACCCTCTCTAAAAGTTTCTCCTACTTTAGCATTCAAGTCCCCTACCACAATTACTCTCTCACTTGGTTCAAAGGCTCCTATACATTCACTTAACATCTCCCAAAATCTCTCTCTCTCCTCTGCATTCCTCTCTTCTCCAGGTGCATACACGCTTATTATGACCCACTTCTCGCATCCAACCTTTACTTTAATCCACATAATTCTTGAATTTACACATTCATATTCTCTTTTCTCCTTCCATAACTGATCATTTAACATTACTGCTACCCCTTCCTTTGCTCTAACTCTCTCAGATACTCCAGATTTAATCCCATTTATTTCCCCCCACTGAAACTCTCCTACCCCCTTCAGCTTTGTTTCGCTTAGGGCCAGGACATCCAACTTCTTTTCATTCATAACATCAGCAATCATCTGTTTCTTGTCATCCGCACTACATCCACGCACATTTAAGCAACCCAGTTTTATAAAGTTTTTCTTCTTCTCTTTTTTAGTAATTGTATACAGGAGAAGGGGTTACTAGCCCATTGCTCCCGGCATTTTAGTCGCCTCATACGACACGCATGGCTTACGGAGGAAAGATTCTTTTCCACTTCCCCATGGACAATAGAAGAAATAAAAAAGAACAAGAGCTATTTAGAAAAAGGAGAAAAACCTAGATGTATGTATATATATATATGCACTTACATAATGGTTAGAGAATCACAGAATGGAAAATGACTTACTAGCTGTAAGATAATAGGTAACCATATTTAATAAAGTAATACCAGAATTTGCTAGTCACTAGCAGGTATCTGATACATATTTTTCAATTACTGTACAGTTCTTGTATTTTTTATATGAATACTTTCACTTTTTTGTTCAATAATATAAATTTGAAATACTCTTGACCATAATTTTTCATGCCCTGCATAGATAAAATGAACTGGTAATTATAAAATAATTTAAGAACTAGTAGCCTTAAATATTTTAAATCATAAACTTTTCCAAATGGATATTTTTATACCCTTGTAGGGAATAGGGTTCCTCACTTGTGTGCCAGCCCTGAATTTAGCCAGTAACTTGTCAAAGATTCCCTAGTCAAGGATCAGCTTTTATTCACCCATTCAGTTTATTCTTTTCTTTCTTTCAACACACCGGCCGTATCCCACCGAGGCGGGGTGGCCCAAAAGGAAAAACAAAAGTTTCTCCTTTCAAATTTAGTAATATATACAGGAGAAGGGGTTACTAGCCCCTTGCTCCCGGCATTTTAGTCGCCTCTTACAACACGCATGGCTTACAGAGGAAGAATTCTGTTCCACTTCCCCATGGAGATAAGAGGAAATAAACAAGAACAAGAACTAGAAAGAAAATAGAAGAAAACTCAAAGGGGTGTGTATATATATATATATGCTTGTACATGTATGTGTAGTGTGACCTAAGTGTAAGTAGAAGTAGCAAGACGTACCTGAAATCTTGCATGTTCATGAGACAGAAAAAAGGACACATATTCAGTTTATAGTCAGATATAAATGTGCTTAACATAACTAACCAAATAATGCACACATCTACAACACCATGTAAATAGAATAACTGAATATCATATTATACAGTAAAATGATTGCCATGGTTTAGCCAAGAGTTCTTAAACAAAATTTTTGTACAATACACAAAAACAAAAATAAACTTTATCATTATTATTATTATTTTAATAACACACTAACCTACATTCTCACCTTTACTGGTAAGTTGATCCAAAAGCTCTTCTAACTGTGCAGTGGTATTTTTACAAGACGATGTTGGAGGTGGGCGGCCCCTAGCTCTGGGGAACAGGCGATGGGGTGTAGGAACAACGAAGGCCACTGGAGTTTCGGCTGTATACCCTTCTCCAGCACCACCACCTGGCACTGTAATGAAGCTTCCATTAAAGCCTTCAATGACTCACCAACATAAGAATTACTCTACTACTATGGAGTGACAGTCTCTCTTTATTACAAGCTTCCCATTAGTAAAATAATTCACAAGAGTATACAAGAGCCAACCTAAAAAAAAGTTTAAATTAAAAACTACTACTGTCATCACTTACTGATATGGTCAACTAGTCACCCATTAGTCGCTTTTTAGTTGCCTCTTACGACATGCATGGCTTACAGAGGAAGAATTCTGTTCCACTTCCTCATGGAGATAAGAGAAAATAAACAAGAAGAACTAGTAAGAAAAGAGAAGAAAACCCAGAGGGGTGTGTGTATATATATGCTTGTACATGTATGCATAGTGTTACCTAAGTAGAAGTAGCAAGATGTACCTGAAATCTCCCATGTTTATGAGACAGAAAAAAGACACCAGCAATCCTACCATCATGCAAAACAATTACAGGCTTCCATTTTACACTTACTTGGCAGGATGGTAGTACCTCCCTGGGCATCTGCTGTCTACCAACGTTGGCCGTTTCCCACCAAGGCAGGTTGACCCAAAAGAAAGAAAAACCCAAAAAGAAAGAAAGAAAAAAAACTTTCATCATCATTCAACACTTTCACTACCACTCATACATAATCACTGTCTTTGCAGAAGCGCTCAGTTATGACAGTTTAGATGTTACTCCAAATGGCCAATATCCCAAACCCCTCCTTTAAAGTACATGCACTGTACTTTCCATCTCCAAGACTCAAGTCCTAGGTAGTAAGTTGGTAGACAGCAATCACCCAGGGAGGTACTACCGTAATGCCAAGTGAGTGTGAAACGGGAACCTGTAATTGTTTTTACATGATGGTAGGATTGCTGGTGTCTTTTTTTTCTGTCTCATAAACATGCAAGATAACAGGTATATCTTGCTACTTCTACTTACACTTAGGTCACATTACACATGTATGTACATACATATATATTTACACACCCTTCTGAGTTTCCTTCTATTCTCTTAGTTCTTTTCTTCTTTATTTCCTCATACCTTCATGCATGTCATAAGATGTGACTAAAATGCCAGGAGCAAGGAGCTAATAACCCCTTCTCCTGTATAAATTACTAAATTTAACAACAAAAACTTTCACTTTTGTTTTTATGCCACCTTGTCTCAGTGGGATACAGCCAGTTCATTGAAAAAATATATGTACAGTAAAACCCCCCCCATATCCGCAGGGAATACGTTCCAAGGATCTGCCATGGATACCAAAACCGTGGATAGTAGCTGACCCTATAAGTCCTATACATACCTACTGTAAAGTTTAACTGGTTAATTATGCATAAGTGGAGAATTACCACTTTTTCACTGATGGGAAGAACTTCACAGTTTATCTTAGGTTTTGAAGAACTTCCACTATCACTACTTTTGCACTTTGAGACCATTATTTTGCAAAATTAAAGGTTATTTTTGGACCATGGTAAACCGCAGATAACTGAAACTGAGGATACCGGACCCATAGATACAAGGGTCCTACTGTATATTGCAGCGAGGAGGTTGGAGGCAGTGATGTTGTGTCTGAGGGCAATATTTGGTGAAATTATGCACAGAATTCATAGGTGGGAAATTATGAGGTGCAGAGTTAATTAAAGTATTATGCAGTGGGCTTAGGAGGCGTTGTTGAGATGGTTCAGACATTTCGAGGATGGAACAAAATAGGATGACTTGGAGAGCATATAAATCTGTACTGGAGGGAAGGAGGGGAATGGGTAGGGGTCATCTTAGAAAAGGTTGGAGGGAAGGGGTAAAGGAGGTTTTGTGTGCAAGGGGCCTGAAGATCCAGTGGTTGTGTGTTGTGTAAGCATGTTAAATAAGAGTGGAAGCAAGTAGTTTTTATTACTTGACATGTTGTTCGAGTGTGAGCAAGGTAACGGAAGGGATTCAGATAAATTGGTTAGCCAGACTTGAGTCCTGAAGGTGGGAAGTACAGTGTCTGCACTTTGAAGAAGGGGTGTGGATATTTGCAGTTTTGAACTGTAGTATTGGTGCCCCTCTGGCAAGACGGTGATGGAGCGAGTGGTGGCAAAAGTGTTTCTTATTTTTTGGGTCATCCAACCTTGGTGGGAGATGGCTGGTGTGCTAATAAAAACAAAAAAAATCAAGGAAATATTAAGAGAATTTTTCTTTGATAACTTTTTCAAGGCTCCCCTCTACCCAAGATTTTTTATCAAGATCACCTAGTTTTCCTGAACGAGATGCAGCGGACTACTACCACAAGTTGCTGTAGTCACAAAGCGTTTAAAGGTACTTCTGGGCTACCTGTCAGTTATAAAACACAGTGGAACCCTGAGTTTCGGCTGCATACAATCTGTTTCAGGAGCTAGGCCTAAACTTGAAACGGCTTAAAGTCAAAGCAATATTTCCCATGAGAAATAATGTAAATACAACTAATCCATTCCAGACCCACAAAAATATTCACAAAAAATACATTTTTTAAAGATTAACTATAGTTTAACATACATATAGTACTTAAATGAGTAATACAATACATAAATAAACATTTAAAATCACATTTACATACCTTTATTGAAGAGTCTTGCTGGCATCTGGAAGACAGGGAGGAGGAGAGCAGGAGGACTTATTGTTTGGAAGGGGAATCCCCTTCCATAAAGACTTTAGGTAACAAGTCCTTACCTGGGGTTACTTCCCTTCTTTGTCTTTTAATGCCATTAGTTAGAACCAGCTTGAGAGTCACTGGACCCCTGTCATACAAAATAACTTTCAAGAATGCTGTTTCTAGCATCTCTAAGATTTGCCTAAAATGGGACATTGTTTTGTCAATGAACATGTTGCAGAAATGGCTTGTTTCAGCTTGCTCAGGGTGGTATTTTTCCACAAAACTTTGCAACTTATTCTACATTCCACACATGTCCTTAATCACTGAAGAAGGCACCTTCACTCCCTCTTCCTCCTCGGAAGCAAGTTCCTCATGGTGGCTTATTTCACAGTCACAATCAATAAACAAGCACTTAACACAATGAATTTATTGTCAAATGTTTGGATGAGCACACACGGTAAGGTTCCCTCAAGGATAAACAAAGCTAGACTGGCTCACTGCACCTGCCGCGCAGGTGGGGGCAGGTGGACAGGCCTGGTACACCGGCCAAAACACAGGGCAGAGGCTGAAACTTGGGACAAAATTTAGCCGAAAAAAGCGGTCGAAACTCGAAGCGGCCAATACTCAACGCAGCCAAAACTCGAGGTTCCACTGTACTTGATCCTCTATCACAGCACACTTAGTCACTTTGTAGGTAGTTAAAAATTTTTTACGATGGTCGCATTCTCGTATCTAGAGGCTTTTACAATTTGTCCAAAGAAGTTTCTTAACCCTTTCAGGGTCGAGAGGCCCTCTCCTAAACGTGTTCTCAGGGTCGAAAATTTTTCGGAATTTTTTTGTTTTTTTTTTCAACAAGTCGGCCGTCTCCCGAGGCAGGGTGACCCAAAAAAGAAAGAAAATCCTCAAAAAGAAATTACTTTCATCATCATTCAACACTTTCACCACACTCACACATTATCACTGTTTTTGCAGAGGTGCTCAGAATACAACAGTTTAGAAGCATACACATATAAAGATACACAACATATCCCTCCAAACTGCCAATATCCCAAACCCCTCCTTTAAAGTGCAGGCATTGTACTTCCCATTTCCAGGACTCAAGTCCAACTATATGAAAATAACCGGTTTCCCTGAATCCCTTCACTAAATATTAACCTGCTCACACTCCAACAGATCGTCAGGTCCCAAGTACCATTCGTCTCCATTCACTCCTATCTAACACGCTGACACACGCTTGCTGGAAGTCCAAGCCCCTCGCCCACAAAACCTCCTTTACCCCCTCTCTCCAACTCTTTCGAGGATGACCCCTACCCTGCCTTCCTTCCCCTATAGATTTGTATGCTTTCCATTTCATTCTACTTTGATCCATTCTCTCTAAATGACCAAACTGCCTCAACAACCCCTCTTCTGCCCTCTGACTAATACTTTTATTAACTCCACACCTTTTCCTAATTTCCACACTCCGAATTTTCTGCATAATATTTACACCACACATTGCCCTTAAACAGGACATCTCCACTGCCTCCAACCGTCTCCTCGCTTCTGCATTTACCACCCAAGCTTCACACCCATATAAGAGTGTTGGTACTACTATACTTTCATACATTCCCTTCTTTGCCTCCATAGATAACGTTTTTTGACTCCACATATACCTCAACGCACCACTCACCTTTTTTCCCTCATCAATTCTATGATTAACCTCATCCTTCATAAATCCATCCGCCGACACGTCAACTCCCAAGTATCTGAAAACATTCACTTCTTCCATACTCTTCCTCCCCAATTTGATATCCAATTTTTCTTCATCTAAATCATTTGATACCCTCATCACCTTACTCTTTTCTATGTTCACTTTCAACTTTCTACCTTTACACACATTCCCAAACTCATCCACTAACCTTTGCAATTTTTCTTTAGAATCTCCCATAAGCACAGTATCATCAGCAAAAAGTAACTGTGTCAATTCCCATTTTGAATTTGATTCCCCAAAATTTAATCCCACCCCTCTCCCGAACACCCTAGCATTTACTTCCTTTACAACCCCATCTATAAATATATTAAACAATCATGGTGACATTACACATCCCTGTCTAAGACCTACTTTTACCGAGTAGTAGGCTCCCTCTCTTCTACACACCCTAACCTGAGCCTCACTATCCTCATAAAAACTCTTTACAGCATTTAGTAACTTACCACCTATTCCATATACTTGCAACATCTGCCACACCGCTCCCCTATCCACTCTATCATATGCCTTTTCTAAATCCATAAATGCAATAAAAACTTCCCTACCTTTATCTAAATACTGTTCACATATATGCTTCAATGTAAACACTTGATCTACACATCCCCTACCCACTCTGAAACCTCCTTGCTCATCCGCAATCCTACAT